TTGATCTGGCTTTTGGACTCTGTTTGCGTGCATATTTGTAATGGGTTCTGAACTGTTCTTTTAGCTTAAGAAATCTGGATTTAAACCTCATTCTTGACCTTGGTTACTATAAACCTTCACCTTGAATGAGTGGCGTTGAGCACGTTATCTCAACTTCAGAATGGGCAATCCTTGTCTCAAGTGGTGATTGTTATATCTGTTCCAATGTGAGACACATTGCTGCTTTGAGGTCATGGCTTAGTAGTCAGGCACTGTCAACCCTTCCAATGCCTGATGTCAAGCACAAGCTCTCTGTCTTCAGATGGATCTGCTCAGTTACTGTGCTTTTAAGTCCAGCTCCTAAATCTGAGGTTTACATCTTTGAGTAAGAAGCCTTCTTCCATCTGGGAGTAAATGGGAAAAGAAGAATGCTGGAGTGTAGCCCAATTACTGCCTGGAAGCTTAGACCGCAGGCACCATTGAGACCCTGATGGACCAGCTGGCAACAGCTCTTCTGTGTGATGAGTAACCAGCTCCAGCACTAGCTTGGGGAGATACCTAGACTCGCCTCGCACTCAGCAACCTGAACTGAATGAACTGGAATTGTGGGGCCCTGAAGCGAGGGGTGCCAGAATCCTCAGCATCTCTGTGATTGTGCTCAGCAGGAGGCTGCATCCTTCCGTTCCCCTCCCATGGCCTCACCTCCAGCAAGGGTGACTAGGTTTAGAGAATAAGAACACCATATTCCTTCTTTTTTTCTCTAACTTCTCATTTTCATTAATATATGTTTACATAGCTTAAGCGCATTCATCTTGGGAATCGGTACATGTACATATTGTATCTTAATCATCTTTTACTTCCCCTTTCCTCTCCGCCCTCTCATCTCCCCCATTCCCAGTTCCCCTTTTTATCTCCACAAAATCTGTCTCCCTTTTTCCTATCATCTATCGTTTTTAAAATTTTGCTCCCTAAGTCATTTATATTTTGGTTTTCCTATATGAGAGAAACCATGTGATATTTAACCTCATGTGTCTGATTTATTTCACTTAGCATTATGGTCTCAAGATGGATCTGTTTTCCTACAAATGACTTCTTTATGCTAATATTCCATTGTTTGTGTACACCACATTTTCTTTATCATCCTTATCTGTTGATGGACCTAGCTATTTCTAAGATTTAGCTATTATGAGTTGAAAACATCAGTTAAATTTGAATTTCAGATACAAAAAAAACAATTCAGCATAGGTATATGCTAAATAATATTTAAAATATCCTAATATTAAGACATTATTATTTAATCTGAAGTTCAAATTAAACTAATTGCTTTAATTTTATCTGGTAATGCTGTGTAGATAAAATAATTTGGGCCTTGATAGAAATTCACAAGCCTTAAGATTCACTGGGCCTCTGCTTCTCTAGCAAGTATCAAAGCACTTTGTAAAGAAGAAAATCACACGACTGGATCGTCCTCTGCTGGGACTACCGGGGTCCGGATTCTCTGGTTCCCTGTGTTTCTGGGTAAGCTATAGGGGTCCCTGAGATCTGATCTGAGTACCTGTAACCTCACTTGCCTTCCATCAACTGCATTTGGGACACAGGGTGAAAGGTAACTTCCTGAAAGTGTTAAGACATTATGTGGACACCTTTATGCTGTTGGATCCTTTGAGAGCTATAGGATCTGAATCCTGCCTGCCTTTCTGGGGGGTGATCTTTGCTGTTTGTAAGCACTGTCCTAATGAATATCTTCACACACACACACACACACACACACACACACTGTCCAGCTAGACTCAACAATACTCTAGCACTGGCAATCCTGGTTTACCTGAAGGGTAAGCACTTCCAGAGCACACTCCAGAAAGAAATGTGTGGACCACATTTAGTGAAGTCTGGTATCTGCAGTTCTGGAGTAAGAGATGCCCTGGTCACTTGAGGATACTTAGACACGAAGTATGCCTACTCACATTTCATGGCAATTTGTTCCCTCTGTATAATGGCCTCTGTATAATAACCTTCTAAAACAAAGAAATTGGCCTGATGGGGTTGAGGTGGACACTATGTTTAGGAACTCAAGACTCCCCTACCTTTGCTCCAGTATAGCAAAAACTGTATACCAGGATCTGTTCTAAAGACTCACCTATATTAGCTAACTTAATACTCATAATAATCCTAACAAGTATATACTATGTCTGTTGCTGTTGTTTTGTTTGGTTTTGTTTTTTGAGACAGGATCTCTGTGTAGTTCAGTCTGGCCTTGAACTCACTATGTAATTGAGGCTGGTTTGAACTCACAGTGATCCTCCTGCCTCAGCCTCCTGAATGCTAGAATTACAGGCATAGGCCACCACACCTGGCTACTATTGCTGTTTTATAGGTAGAGAAATTGAACAAAAATTAAAAAAAAGAAATTGAAACACAAAGAGATAAAGTAATTCCTCTAAAGTCACACAGAGACAAAAAATTTGCTAGGAAATAAAAATCAAGATTTAAATTCAGGCACTTTCAGCTCCAGAGATGTCCTCTTAACCAATGAGCCAACTCCAGGCAGCCTTGATCTATGAAGACTGATGCTGTCAATACCATCTCTACTCAGGAAGGGCCCTGTCCTGCCCTGCAATATTCCTGTTTGCAAAGGGCAAAAGCTTACTGTCAAGTACATCTTCAAGCCCTAGAATATCTAATGCATCAGTGACTTCAACTTGCCTTACCCAGAACCTCAGCTCATGCTCTGCCTTGGGTGCCCCATGAGCTATGTATCCAGCAGCCAGAATCACAGAGCAGTGCTCTATCCTTAAAACCTGAGCACATGAAGTTGCAGCTTCACCCTCAGAAGATTCTGGATGAGTATTTCACAATCTTTCTGTTCAAATGAGTAGTTCCAACATTTGCACACGGCCCTAATGCAGATCCAGTCCCTCTTTGGAGGTAACTTGGAGATGTATAGGGTGCCAAGCAGGCCTTTGTAGGAGAGGAGAAGGGTTGTGTACATTTCTGTCAGTAAGACTTGAGTGCAATTTCAACCTCGCCTCCTGCCCATTATGCAACCAAAACACAGTATGAGGCTTTTTCTGGAAGATGTGTGGTGTTGTGGTGCATTACCCCCAAACAACTGGACCTGAAGCCAAGCGAACCTGGGCTTTCTGAAGGGTAGCTATGACTTCTGATGCACAAACCTCCAGGACTACCTGTGGGACTCTGGTCTGCTTTCTGGCCCAGTCAGGTCTGTCCTAGAGGGAACAGCTCTACAATGATGGGGTATTTCCCTCCCTTCCCTGGCCACTCTGGCCACTTCTGTAGGCTCTTAAAACATTGCTGTCCAATCAGAATCCTCACTGTGCTCTAGTTTGGGCCTATTAAGTCTACATGCATCTTCCTATCACCCCAGACAGGTGGCTAGAGAATGTGTGAGAAACACTTGCATTGCTTTCCTTCCAGAACTTCTTTTCTGACAATAGTTTTCATCCAAACCATTTTCTTATAGTTTGTTTTTTAGTACTAATAGTGAGTGCTCTGTAGCAAGATAGTACTTGAAAGGTACACACTAATCTGAAGAACTTTTATGAGTGTGCCACATTCTGGCTGGCAGCAACATTTGGAGAGGTTTGAATATGGAATACCATCTCATTATCCCCCAAGCACATTCATCCTACCCAACTAATGTGTAAGTTGGAGGATTCCTAGCAATAATAGCATCAGTAACAACAGCTAACATCTATCAAGCACTTACTTTGGGCCATGCATTGTACTAAATGATTTATATATTTTTCATTTAATTCTCACAGTGATGAGGATATTATTTTATCCCCAAGAAAACCATGCCAAAGATCACAAAAATAAATGTTAAAACCAAATTTTACGTTAATTTTTAAGAGTAAGCTTTCAGCATCTCTGCTGCCATGATCCTACATCTGCTGATATCCTCCATGCCTAATCTCCCAACTTCTGTTCTTTTCTAATTCTCCAACTATCCATTCTAATAAAGAGGGAGCGTAAACATGAATGATGTTCCCAAGAGGGAATGGACTCTCACTGACACCATGGCTCATCAGGTGGACCAGAAAGGGATGAAAGCAAGAGTTGTTTTAATTTGACCCTTTGAAATAGACTCCACCTGAAAGAATGAAAAGTCTTCTGTAAGAACTTTGCTGGGTTTTTTTCTTTCATTATTGGGTCTAAACACTTGGCACAGTGCCTCGCTCACGGTAGGTACCTAACAAATATTAGGGTGGACCCTCAGCTAATTAGGCTTGGCCTAATTAAGGGCAGAGGGTTAACTAAGGCAGATACATCGGAGGGGCAGGAAAGTGGGTTTGAGCAGAGCCAGACGACGTGCTCTGTGTGTGACATTGGTGCCCAATTTGTCAGCTCTTCTATGTTTCCTTCGGTTGTTTTGCTTTGTTTCGTTGTTTTAAGGCAGGCTCCTGCTGTGCAGTTCTGGCTGGCCCTGAATTCTCAGCAATCCTTCTGCTCAGCTCTGCCTCCCACCCCAGTGCTGGGATTACAGGTGTGTCCCACCATCCTGGCTATTTCTTTGTTCTTGTTCCAAATAACAAATTCTATTTGCTCTGCGTGCATTTTCTCTACCTCATGATGGCTACTGCTGCATAAATCCTGCCTTCTTATTATACTGTTGCTTCTTCATAGCTTTGGTCTGCCATAACTCTCTGCAGTCCCATCACAGTCTCACTCTATGGGACGGTATCATTTCAGTGCACATGTCCACTGCTAGCTACTTCTTTATACCTATGTTTCCCAACTCAGATTCAAGAAGGAGAGAATCTGATTGATTTAACCCATCTTTTCTATGGTCTTTGGGAAGGCAACCCTAATATCAGGGACCAGTTCCTGGTCCAGTCAGGAGCCATCCCTAGGTAAAGAACAACCTAGCTCTGCTTCTCGAGCAGGGGGCCGTGGGTGGGGCAGTTTCATATAGAAGAGGAAGTTGGGTGTGGCGGGCACTGTGTTGACATATCCAGTATAGGAGTGCTCCTGGGAGCCCATCTCTCATCTCTCAAAGAGATAACTTTGTGGGTTTGGATTCACCATCAGTCATTCCCAGCAGAACCCAGCCAAATGCAGCTGGTAACTTGAAGAATTTGGAATTGCTTTTGGCCTCCATCTTCTTGGACACTCTTCCTTCTAGGACTGCTGTGGTTTTTCAGCTTATGTGTGATTGGAGTTGGCTTGCTTCTGGAAATCCTTCAGCTTAGATAAGTTGGCTTTTAACTGAACTGCTTCATCCTTGGGAAAAGGTAAGTATTTGGATTCAACTGGACCCAAATCCAGTTCTGGGTCATTCTGTCAACCTAGAAGAAATGGTCTGATCTCTTGTTTTCTTGTCTCTTATTCAAATCTACTCTCTCCAGGCTGTCACTTACCAAAGTGTGACTTCCATTTCCAGACCCTCCTACCTACTTCTGGGGCATGACATTAAAAAGTGGCTAGTGACTTCACTGAGAGCAATTTTAGAGGAATGGTCGGGGTAGAAACCAAACAGAAGCAAGTTGAGGAAGTGGAAATAGTGTAAGACTACTCGTCTGAGAAGTATAAATGAAAAAGAGAGGAAGAAAACAACTATTTGCTAAGGGTTTTTTTTAGTTGTTAAAGAATTTGTTGCCAATTATATATGCTTTTATAAAATAGCTTTTAAAAAAGCAGAAATTATGAAGAATAAACTTATCCCATTAATCCATTATCCAAGTAAGCATGTTAGTTACCAATTTTTAAGCACCTACTAAATAGAAGGATTACATTAATACCTTTAGAGAGAGTGTCCATTTCTTATGTCCCCATTAGGCAAGAATTCAGATAGATAAACCTTTGGTACAAAGTAAGACAGTATGTCTTCCCCTCAGGTAATGAATGGTACCTATTGATTTATAAGGGACCTAAGAATTTTTCTGGCGGGTAACACAAAGTTGTGTTCTTGTAGGGTTTTAGTACTACACAGATATGTCTTAGGAAATTCCCAGGTGGATGGATTGCTGGAAAGGGAGGGAAAAAACAGTGTCTCCCAGAGAGGGCAGTCTTTTGAGGAAGAAATCTACAATGGTGAGACTGAGGCATGACTAGGGTGGATGTTAGCACAGGATCAAACCCAGCTCCTCTGGAAATGTCTCCCAGCAAGAAACAAAGAAGGCCCTCAGTGTAACAGAAAAAGCCACTTTATGAAACTGTGATGTTCCAGGGCTTATCATCATTGAATAGCCAAATATAACGCAGGAAAAGAGCTTTCCCTGTTTTGCTTCAAAAGAAGATGCTGACAGAAATGTCAAGGGTCATCCATCACAACCTCAGTTTCCACAAAACCAGAACCATGAGGCCAACTATAAAAGCAGGAAAAGTTTTCTTCTAACTTGTAGCAAGGTACTAGAGGATAATTTAAGTTAATTCTGTAATAACACTTTACCTTAAGCGTTGATGCTGAAAAATGGACTCTGACTTCCTGTTTTTTAGAAACTTCATTGACTGGCACTCCACACTGCTGTGTGATTTTGGACTTGTAGTTCATAGTGGAGCTGTAAGAGCATTCACAGTGTCAGCTAAACAGACTGTGTCAGTACTGGATGATGGCACTGACTTAAGAGCATAGCTATGATTTGGTCACTGGTGGCATGCAAATGTCTTTGCATGAAAACCGTTTTCTAAATAAACCTGGATAAGTTCATTTAAAACTAAAGACCCCTCCCATCCTACTCTTTGTTATCACTTACTCCATCTTTCTAGCTCTTCGGACCATTTCTGTTCGGTGACTTTTCCTTTTTCTTTTTTTTCTTTTTTTTTTTTTTGGTCTTTTTTGTTTTTATCGGTACCAGGGATCGAACTCACGACTGCCTGCTTGCAAGGCAGGTGCTTATGCCGCTGAGCTAAATCCCCAGCCCCTTTTCTTTCTTTTTTAAAACAGTGTTTTACTATGCAGTTCAGGGTGACCTTGAACTCACTTTGCAGCCCAGGCTGGCCTCAAACTCACAGTGATCCTCCTGCCTCAGGCTCCCAAGTACTTGGTCTGTGACTTTTCTTATTAGTTCTTTTTAAATAATATATTTTCCTATCATAGAATATAAATGGCATGGAAGCAGTGTTCCAGTCTAATTGTTGACCTTTGTGTTTCCAGAACCTAGATCAATGATTGGCACAGTATATTCAATAAAAATAGAGTTAATCCATCTTGAGGGTCTTTCAAAAATATACAGAGGAGGGTAGAACTACTATGAGTTTTTGTTTAGGTTCTTAGGGGGAATTTAGGATATTTACATACATTTGTAACAATCCTGAAATACCACTAATGTACTAATATATTCATTTTATAGTTGAGAAAACTTGGAATTAGGGTGGAGCCATCTTGTTCCAGATACCATCTTGACAATTGTCCAACTTAAGTGTATTTCAAATCACTCAGGAAAAGCAGTGGTAGATATAGCAATACTTTATTACAAGGACAAGTTCAAGCCACAGTAGGAAAACATCGATGGAGTACAAGTATTATGAGGTGTGATTAAAATATATGGTGAGGGGCTGGGAATTTAGCTCAGTAGCACAAGTGCCTGCCTGGCCAAGTGCAAAGTTGTCAGTCCAATCCCAGGTACCAAAAATAAACAAATATACAATAAATAAAATATATGGTGAATGTTTAAATTAAAAAGCTCTTAGGTTAAAATAATAATGACCAGAGCTACTATAAACTACCATAGTAAGTAATCAGTCCATATAGGAAATATTGCTATTACTCACACAAGCGATCAAAGCCTTAATTGATATGGTAAAACCAGAAATAGAATAAAAGGGATAATTCCAGCAGTCTGAGTGGCTGAGAAGGAGTATCACAAGTCCAAGCCCAGCCTGGGCAATTTAGCAAGACTTTGTCTCAAAATAAAAAACCAAAACAGGTCTGAAATGTAGCTCAGGGAAAAGGGTTTGGGTTTAACCCTCAGTACTTAAAAAAGAAAGAAGAAAATGAAAAAATGAAAGAAAGAAGGAGAGAAAGAAAGAAAGAACACATTAGTTGTAAAACTTTCTTTCCGTTGGATTTTTTCATAAAATAAAAAAAACAATGAAAAAATACTTAGCAAGGTAAGCAAAATTTTGCTTTGATTTTTCATACAATAAATTGTAAAAACATAGCAAGATCACCCATCCCCCAAATAACCCATAAAATCAAATGAGAACAAAAAGGTTTCATTTAAGTGGGGGTAATTTCAATTCCTTTCAAAAAACAAAATCGACTTGTTTGAAAACTAAAAAGGAAACAAATCAGAAAAATCAAGTCCTTGTAGCCTTTAGCAAATCTATAACAAAATTATGTTAATGTTGATTTCATACTTGAACTTCAATTGCAAAACAGACAAGCAAAACGTGTTATAGTAAAAGCATCAATTCTGAGTCATGATGTAGAGAACATGCTTCAGCAGTGTCTGTAAAATGAATCAGAGAGCAGCATGGGGCCTCAAGAAAGAGGAATTCTTAGACACAGGACTCAGGGTTGTTAATCATGAGGCTCCTGGGCAATGCAAGGGACCCGTGAAACAATCCCTGTCTTAGAGAAAAGGAACTGTAGGACCCAGGTGAGAAGACCTGGCTCCCCTTGGCTCCCTTCTCCGACCATCAGCTGGGGTGGTGGACCACAAGCAGCACTCCTGAGGACTTCGGAGGGAGATGCAGGGACAGATGACTGACCAGGTTCAGAAGGATCAGCTGGGCTTGTCACCCCCACCATGGTGAGGGTAGGAAAGGAGACAGGAAACACACACAAGGAACTTCTGGAGGCTACGTCCATCAGGAGTCCCTGCCCTGGGTGGGTGGCAGCCTGTCTCTTCATTCAGTCAATATTTACTGAAAGCTCTTTATAATCAGGCACACGGCCAGGTACTGGGCTAGATGCTAGGAATGGAAATAATAAACTACTTCCTGATGTCTTCCCTCTCTTCTGGAGAAAGGAAGGGCTGAGGTCTGGTTTTCATTGGCACTGGGGCTGAGCAGGACTTCGCAGGAGGCGAGCCTCAGCTTGGGTGGTGGGATCAAGCTGGGGGCAGCAGAACTTAGTTGAGACAATACTTATACTACACCTGGAATTTTATATTTTCTTCTCCACTTGGTATCAAAATAAATAAGCAAACTATTTTATGTTTAATTATAACTAATTTCTAGATACACAGATGACATGGGTGGGTGAGGGGTGGATTTTCAGTCCTTAAAGTAACAGTGTGTTTAATTTGCTGGGCCTGACAACTGCCTAACGTGAGTGTATTTCAGATCACTCAGGAGAAGCAGTTGCAGATCCATCAGCATTTCATTACAAGGGCAAATTCAGGTCACAATGGGAAAGTGTCAATGGAGCAAAAGGGTTCTGTGGTGCGATAAAGATATATGGGAAATGTTTAAAGTTTAAAAATTATTTAGAGTAAAAAACACTTATTTTCTCTCTCTTGGAACACATTTATCTCATCTTCCTTGCAACTTTCCGAAGTGACTCTGGAAGACCCTCTTTCATAATTGTGTTTAGTTGTGCTGCTGTGTTCGCTGCAATATCCCAAATCGATTAAAAATATTTGCCTTTTGTAGTCATTTTGATTTGGGGAAGAGCCAGAAGTCACATGATGCTATGTCCAGTGACGGTGGATGAAGACAAATTGTCATGCTTTTATTTGACAAGATGAAAAAATATGGCAAATTCATAAATGAAAAAAATTTATTACAGTAAAAGACATTCCCATTAACCACCGTCAAAATACTCAAAATATTTCCCCTTGCTTCAAAACACACTTATCTCATCATTCTTAGCAATATGTGTTTTACCATAATCTTACTTCTTCTTTAAGTATTCTTAGTATCTTTCAATCACCTTTTAAAAATCATTTTAGAGGAGGGTTTGGTTATTACAGCAGATAATCTGGAGAGATACAACCACCCACAAAACTTTAAGACCTGGCACTTTGCAGCTGTCTAATTTCCAGAGATACCTGGCAGTGAACCTCCAGGTTAGGACATGTCCCCCATTCCACCCAGGCCCGGCAGGTCAGCAGGGTCTGCCCTGTCCTCTCAAGCAAGAGTGTTCCTCTTCATGCCTGGAAGGAAAGAAAGCAAACAGAACAATGTAGTCCACAACCATGGGCTTTTGACTTATTGTGTAGACTTGAGTCAAAAACTCAATTATTTATCATTATGGAACATGTTTGCCTTATTAACAAAATTGTTCATGATGGTAAGATTTCTACAATAGCCTACCTAAACTTTAAAATTGACCATGTACAGAATT